AAATAAAGATGTGTATGTAATGTACGAGTATGTATTTAAGGCTCTTTTGTACCTCTTGCTCTCCCACTTTCGAATTTACTAAGGATCGATCCCTTGAAAGCGCTAAGTGAAACTTGAACGTTTGTCTAGCTCTAAGTAAACTTAAACCCAACCTAAACAACATGCAATCCTGCATACACGAGTATATACTATATATATTTATGGACATATGTGTGTATGTGAATACTAAGTATCTAGAAAATTTAACGAACCCCTTGGGAGCAGATAGTACTCGTACTCTACTCGCTATCCTGCTCCTGCTCCTGTTCTGTGGGTGTTAAAATCTAAGAGTTAAGCTACAATTATGCTGAAAGCATTTAATAGTCTAAACAACAACAACATACAAATAAAATACTGGTAATCCAAATAGACACAAATTAACTTGTAAATTATTGAATCTCAGCCCACACATACACATGCATACATATTCGTAAATCAGAAATCTGAAATCAGAAAGCATAAAACAAATCTGTAGTCGAAAATTGTAGTTCATTGTTACTGTCTAGAGATATGAATAAAGTATGAATTAAACTATAAATAAATGAATCAGTAAATCAGTAAATAGTTCAATGTGTGTGCGTTATGTAGCCCCACAGCCCAATAAAATGGTTAAAGGTTAAAGGAACATTCCAAAGAATTAGCCGTAAATGTGTCTGTGTATAATCTGTAAATGTTAAGGTCAAGAACACCTGATGTACTCCTAACATAAGTTGTGACCTCTCCAACCTGCACCTGGCTCTTTCTTGTGCTTCACCTGTTCTGTATAAATTAATAAGCTCTGATCTAAGTTTATCCCCAGAAAATACCTAGCAAAGTGAGAAATACTTAAATAAATACTGAAAAATATTGATAAGCATGAATTTGGCTTTTAGTTAATTGCATTTCCAGCCTCCCCTCATCGATCGCATCGCCTCGGGTTTCTTTTGGAAAACTGAAAAATGTACGAATATTCAATGGAAAAGAAATTTCCAATTTGATTCAATTATCGCAGCAGTCTCTCTGTCATGTCGCATCTCCATTGGGTTTCTAGACCAGGTAAGTGCTAGCATTTTTCCAAAATTAAATTCCCACCCCGGCAACGTGTAGATATATCGACATGTCAGTGTCCAGGTTTCTGCCTCTGTGGCAGAGAATAGTGATGGGATTCCTGGCGCAGCATGTGCAAGGAATTTCGAGTTCATTAAAAGAGAATTTTCCGGAATTCAATAACACAAACACCAATACACACAGGACCGCAAACGAATATTATTTGTTTGGTTTGGGATTTTTCCTAGCCCGCTCTCCAGTGTGTGTAGGTGTGTGTATGTTTCTGGGTCTAAGGATGCACAGGCGAGCAAACAGACAGGCACAAACATTCACAAGAACGTTTCTCGCCTTGTCGGGCCAGAAGTTTTAATTTCCGCTTTGCGGTCGCCTGCAGATAGTCAGAAGCCATCGATGGTACCAGCTCTTCGTAAGCTGATGCTAAACGAAACATTTTTCACCGACAGCTAATGGGGTCGTGGAAAAAATCCCACTGCAATGCACCCCCGATGCATTCCAGCGGTGGAAAAATCATTGTCATGTCATATAGTCAGAGATGTATTTAGAAATGTTACCGAATGAAAGGTGCAAAATTTATCCGACGGCGAAAAATGTATCTTGTGAAAGCATCTTTCGAATTATCAACTCCCACTTTTGCATGCAATACTATGTCAAGCGGCGGATGTAATTTAACTTTATGTTGGGAAAAATATGGGATCCTTAACAATAGCGGCCTCCTCAAAGCCGGAGGACTAAGCAAAATGAAGTTCAAATTCGAATAAATATTCAATTATTTGACTCGACCTGGAGTTTGCTTTTTTCGATTTTTTTTCTTCCACTTTTAACGCTTAAGAGAGTTTCGCACAAAGATATGGGACGGGAGACAGACAGTCGAGTCAATATTGAAATTTGCTTGAATATAATGCTGTGTCCCGGCAGATATGTACATCCCTACATACGAGTGTGTTGTGGGTATACAAATGATATTGAAGCATCTGGCAAAGGCCAAATAAAAAATAGATGAACCCACTTGCCTTTTCCCCCACATGTGAGGTGAGTAGAGGCAAGATGTGTGTGTGTGGAGCAGACAAACATCCTTGAGGCAGTCAGGCCAGAAAAGCGAGGGGGAGCCACAAGCTAGGCCATTAAAATGAGCAAAAATTGTCATAAAAATCCCAACCTTTTGCTTATCTGCAAAGGGCAGAAAAATAACAAAATTGAAGTCAAATTCTAATCAGGCAAAGCGAAGCTTGACAGCCAAAAAGGTACGAGTATTAGCCCAAGTAAGTCCTGAATGGAAATGCTTTCAAAAGAGATGGAAGCGATACCTTAAAGAAAATCAATATTGAGCGAAATGCAGCTTAAAGTTCTGGGAGCCGGAAAATCTGCAGCAGAAAAAGAACAGAGCAGGCGTTGCTTTGGCTTAGAAAGCCTATCATCCGCCATGATGTAACACTTTGGATAGAACGAGCAAGTTCTCAGTCTCTCACTTCCATTCAGCATTCGCAGATTTATTGGATAGCAGAATTCCAACCTCCAACTCCAGCTGCAGCTGTGAGGGATTTGCCAGCATATTTCAAACGCATTTAATGGCAGTGCTCATTTGTCTACCAGCAGGAGAAGCAGCAAAAGCAGCACCAGAGGCAGCCACATCAGCAATGCTCTTAGACAGAATCAGTGGGTTAGATGCAGCCACAGGCACCGCCACCCAAAAGAGCAGGAGGCGAAGAGGAGCGAAGAGGTGCCATACGCCATGTGCCTTGTACTTGTGGCGTATACGTAACGTGCGAAAACCGAACAAAAGCGCCCAAAAAAGCATTTCGAAATGCACACTCGCACTCTCCCTCTTACCAATTACGATTACTTGTGGGAATGGTATGTGGCTGTGACCCCTCTGCCACTGTCAGGGCCATGGCCGAAAGAGAATTGGAATAAGTTTTGCGAGCTTGCAACTGTTTTATTGTTTATCCAAAAGGATTCATTAAGCTCTACTTATGGCCAACATGCTTCGGGCCATATCACACTGTCCCATTCACACACACAGAAAGACAAAAACAGAGTTAGAGGAGTTAGAGAGAGCTTTGTGTCTGTAAGAAATTCTAATTGGTTTGGTTTTTTGGCTTAGCAAAGTGCTTGGCATTTGTTTTGAGTCCCGACATTAATTTGGCAAAGCAATTAAATTGCTGCCCGAATGAAGATGTGGAATTTGTGGCACAAATATGCAAATGAATGGGGACAAAGTGCATTGGAAAACTCACTCAAAAGTGATTCAGCAAATCAGTTATGCAATCCAAGGCTTGATATTAGACACATCAGTCTTCATATTCTGACCAGAGACAATTTCCATGGGGAGTTCTGGGGACCACTCGATTGATACTCGATCGAAACTCTGACAATGTCGAAAATTGTTTTGCAATTGCTTTACATGACAAAATGGCCAACTAATTAACAAGCCATTAATGCAACGTTTTCGACCAGAGGAAAGCCAATTGTGCCGCACGAAAATGTTGGCCAGCACTCTCCCGTTGCCATTTTCACACGTTTTGTGGGCGAACACATTTATGCAAAGTCGGGCTAAAATTTTGCTGCAATCTAAGGAGGATTCTTTCTGGCACAAAAGAGTGTATACCCTTACAAATGTTTCAACATTTTGAATGGATATGGTTAGAATATACCGATTAGACTATGAACTCGAATATGCCTATCTAGGCACTCAGTAATGTGATGTGAGCAAGCAATAGTAAAGAACTCTTACATGTAGGATAGTGTATGGTGGATCATCCACTCTCCATCGACGCTCTCTTCCTTCGGTTAGAGTATCGTTAGGTCCCAACTAGTTTTGGATAATTTATGCACGAGTGGTTTCCACTTGGCCAGCAGAAACCGGCCAAACACTCGACAAACCAAACATATACATAGAAACGAAATGCGCCCATGGAACCAATTTGATATTGTTTGGTCACCATCCCCTCGAGCCGCCATCCTCCCCCTAATCGGGCAGCCCCCCTGGACACCCACCCACTTGGCTGCACTAATTTGTATCCAATTAAATCGGCTTAGTTAGTCGGGGAGTCTATTCTGTTCTGCTCTCCTCTCCTCCCTCGAAAATCGTTTTCGTTTTGTGGTTCAGCATTTTTGGGGAAATTTTCCAATGTTTCCTCTGCAACACCTCCCTCCTATCAACACCAGCCCCAGCCCCTTGCCAAATTTGAATACTTTGATGAGGGGGGACGGGAGTGGAGAGTTGCAGGCTGCCAGAAAACCGATAGGCGTCGCCTTAATGCGCGAAATTTAATTAAAATTGAACTTAATTTAGATAAGCATGTGAGCGGGCTGATATGATAAATTGTGGCACACTTTAGTGGGCGTGGCAGTGGCATGCCTTGCGTGCTTAGCCGCTTTCGAAACCTGTACACTGAGGCAACACTTCGGGGATATTGTAAGAGAGTAAGATATGTTTTCTTAGTTTCCGAACACATTTTCGCCCAGTGCAGTGGTAACCCGAGGTAATAAATTTCTAAAGGTTCAGCATAGGGGTGAAACTAAGGGAGTAAAAGTAGCCCCTAGCCAAGGGCTTAGGGTAATGCCCTCTCCGGTGCAACAGGCTAAAGAGTGTCCGTGAAGGGTCTGCTCCAAGTAATTAGAATAACATTTTTTTCGCCTTGGCCAAGAGCCAGACACCCTCAACACTCTGCAGTGTCCTGTGGCGCCAGAGAGCAAGAGGTCACCGAAGGTCAGCGCTGGTAATGAAGCTTTCGATTTGGGTTTCCCACAGGATGACAGGCACTTGGGTTTGAATCTTCGACATTAAAGTCATTCAATACATTTCAGATTATTTTCTTTTCATTATGTTTTACATTTTTACTCTTAGATACTTTTAAGGAATGCATTAAAATTGAGGAAAAAGCTTTCCACTTACTTTTCTAGTTCAAATATTTTTAATTTACCGACGAAATTTTCCATTGAGTCACATACGACAGCAGCCATGGCAGTCAACTTCCTGTGCGACATAGTCGTGAGCCACTTGGAGCTGCCCCATGACGACATCAGCGAACCCAAGCATCTTCAGGTGTCCATGCACTTTGGCAAGGTGCCCCTTACCCTCACCTCCAGCTGCATCAACGTCCGTGAGTTCCCGGCCGGAAGTCAGACCGACTTCATAGACAACCCCAAATCGTTGCGGCAGACTCTGGCGGCCAATGGGCTGCCCATCACCGTGCGCCTTGCCGGCAGGACTCTGGGCACCGGCAAGGTGCAGTTCCCCGATGACTTCACGGACCGCATCGACAACCCCATGAGCGACTTGATGTACGGCGGCTCCTGCAGCCTGCTACGCAATAATGAAATCATCGGCGTCTTGGAAATCATGCTGCGCCTCACCATCAAATGCGAGGATCCACCCATAGAGTAAGTATTGGAGGGAAGGGCTCAAAGGATATTCAGCTCAATGTCATTGCTTAGACCCGACACAGGCAGCAAGAGACGTCCCACCTGTGTCAATCTGGGTCCAACCATCAACCAGCAGGATATCATGTTCATGGTGGGGTCCGCCGAACCGTGTGAGATTCCCTCGGATCCATGCGACGACCACCTGGAGGCCGAGCCGGGCGATGAGCAGCTCCAATGGGATCTCTCGCGTTACCGCAGCCGGAACTCGAGGATCGACTATGATGAACCCGAACCGCAGGAGAAGCCCTGTCTTGGACACCTGCGCCAGCTTACAGACAAGTATGCGGGAATCATTCAGTCGGTGGCCGATAGTGTCAAAGACCTGAAGCCATCGCCCTGTATTGGGCGTCCAGTCAAAGAGGATTCACCCTGCCGGGTGTCCTTCGATCAGCAAAAAAAACGCACGATTCCCGTGCCAATGGGCGATACGGAAGAGTTTGGCATCAAGCCTATCCGATTCTGCCCCGTTTGTCTGCACGCCATGTCCTGGCTGCCCAAGTTCGCCGCATGCCCCAACTGCGGCACGAAGCCCATGCCTGTGACGGAGAAGCGGCACACAGGGGAGCTGACAGCGGATATGATCATTGAGGAGCAGCTGCGAAAGCGAAACACTTTGTCAGGAGACGAGGACTTTTGCAAGGATCCCTGCGATAAGAAAGTGCAGGAGACGGACGGTGACGGATGCAAGCCCTGTCGCTGCACCTGCACAAGCGGAAAAATGTGCGTCCGCTGCCGCATACGAAAGCTCTGCGAGGACGTATTCCAGCCACGTGAAAGCGCATTGTCCAAGGCCAAGGAGTGCCCTAAGCCGCAGACGGGTGAGGACTTCTGCGTGATCACCAATCCACCGGAGAACTGTCGTCCGTACCTCACACGAGTCTTCTCCGAACTTATCAATCTCTATCAGATCGACGAATCGCGAAAGGCCACCGAGCTGCAAGCGCGCTGCACTCAGTCCCATCTGATAATGCCCTCCAATAGACGGTCAGAGCAAGGGCAGGAGGCCCCGGTGAGCGGGGGTGCTGGGATCTCTCTAGGTGCCAGGGGCGCCCCAAAAAAGACTGGCCACAAAACTTGTCTGTCCAGCGATAGAGCCGTCCCCCGGCGGCACGGCTGGGGCTGGATGAACACCGATGAGGCTCGCAAGTATGGCTGGCGTCCCGGTGTTATTGCGCGGTCCACCAGCAGAGTGATGAAGTTCTTCCTGGATCAAGAGGCGCAGCGAAGCGTGTTCAGCGTCTGCCAGGAGCTAGCGGAGAAGAACAATGAGATGGAGAAACAAAACCAGTCCGTGCTCAACGTGTGCAAGCGAAACCACGAGATCTTCGTGACGCTGCGACCGCTCAACACCTTGGGAATGGAGCAGCATCCTATCACCTTCAAGATAGTCAAGAGCGAGCTGGCCCTAGCTCTGAGTGATCTCAAGCGCAGCCTCAAGGCCAAGGGCTTCGTCAAGTGCACCTGCCACCAGACGCTGATGATGTGCACATGTCGAAGTCCGCGAGAGAAGCGACTCCTAGAACGAGCCATCTATAAGGAGTGCCGGCGCCGCGTAATAGCCCCCTGTGCCGACCACCTGGTCCTCACGGACACCAGCGACAGCGAGATGGAGTTCGACTTCAATGTAACGCCTCCCGCAGGCACCAAGCAGCCGTACAGGCTACCCAAAGCTCGCAGCGGAAACCGAGGCACACAGACCAGTAAAAAGGACCGAGAGCCGCCTTCCCCACTCTATCCCATCCAGCAAAACCCCTACTGGCGCTCCTTCGACTGCGGCGTGGGCGATCGTTACATGGGCACTGCCTTTGGCGGCAATGGGGAAACCGTCTTCGAGGACGGCGTCTTCGGCTACATGGGCGGGGGGCAGCACGGCGAACCTCCATCCCGTCGGAGTCCGAGAATCTGGGGCACAAGTCCAGGCGCTCCTATGCGCCTTGGCATTGGTCGCAGCGCGGATAACAACAATCGATTTAGTGGCACTGCCTGGCGTGGACTAGCCCGAAGAGTACTAGCAAAAATGCGAAATGGGGTAAAGAATATAAAATAAACAGTGAATAGTACATAAATAAGAAAGAAGGTTTTTTTTATACCCGATATTCAAGAAGAGTGTTGGGGTGTAATAGATTTGTGCGGAGAGTGGATGAAGCTAGAGCAACCAAATGTTGTATCCAGACTCCTGTGATATCGCACTGTTCAAGGGCGGCATTCACAATTTTGAAGATACGAGAGAACCAAGCGCAGAACTATAGAGAATGACTGGTCGGATTATTATTATAGCCAGAAAGAACAAATCAATCTGAAGGGACTACACTACGCCGTCCACGCACCTACTCATTTTCTGTCTGTCATGAATGTGTGCGCCTTCTGGCGAAGGAGAGCCATACTGCCTGCAAACATATGTAGAGTCTCGGCCGTAGCTGCGACCCACACCCTCTCGGTTTTTTAATCATAAAAGTTGATGCCCATTCGAATCATCGAAGTAGTCGAACTACAAATAGGCTAGGTTAGGTTATGTTAACCCGGGCGGCCCTGAACTACAAATAACATACTTACAAAATTTTACAAATAGTATTTGAACAAATTATGAAGTAAACAAAATTTTTAATCACCATGGCAAAGAAGAAGGAACGAAAATCCAAGTCCCGCTCAACGACGTTAGTACCTGCGCCCGAGCCACCGGCTGAGGCCGTGCCAGTTGAGAAACCAAGGCCCACGATGAAGGAGCCACCACCGACATTTATCTTTGACGTCGTGGTGACCAATTTGGAGGCACAGGGCGTAGAAATCACTGATCCCAAGGGGCTGGCGATCGATGTGAACTTCAATCGCATGCCTTTGACCCTCACCTCGAGCCGGATCAATGTCAACGAGTTCAAGCCGGGCAGCGGCACGGAGTTCCAGACGGAGCCCAATTCCTTACGCAAAACTCTCGAGGAATGCGGCATGACATTCGTGGTAAAGTACAATGATCGCGCTGTGGGCAGCGGACAGACATCCTTCCCTACCATGGTCACAGAGCGTATCGAACGAGAGATGAGCGACATCATCCATGCGGACACATGCGTTTTGTCTAAAGGGGGAGAGCCGGCTGGTAAGCTGGAGGTCCTCTGCCGCCTTGTCATCCGCTGCAATGAGCAGCCGAAGTACGTAAAGAGTCCTTTCCCCCATAGTGATCCAGACCTAATAAATTGCTTCTTCCAAATATCCGCAGGGTGGGAGAGAGCGAATGCCAGCGGAACATGGACAAAAGCATCAATCCGCAGGACATAATGTTCGTTATGGGCGAATCCCAGCACTGTCCCAGTCCTTGCGATCCCTGCCTAGATGCCATGGATTCAGAGCCGGGTGACGAGCGTCTGCGCCTGGATCTGCAGCGATATCACAGTCAGAAGGCCGGCACCTTTAACCCCAACAAAATGACGACGGACAAACCATCTGGAATTCCGGCTTGCTGTGAACTGAAGGTGGGTGCGAGGTAAGATCAGAGCTCCCATTGATAATACTATCTTTTAAACCTTTGCAGAAAATGGCCGTGGAGTATGAGCAGCTAATAGACTCCATAACCAGGTCCACGGGCTGCGCGCCACCTCCAAAGCCGCCTTGTCGGAACCCGGATGAGTTTGATATGAGTCCCTGTCGTGACACACACATGCCCGTGGATCTGAAAATGCCAGGAGAGCCCCATCTGCCCTGCTTCTCGTATCTGCCGACTCGTCAGGAACAGAAGCCCGACTTTTGCGATCAGAACCATATACCAATGCCCATTGCAGACTGCGACGGAAAGAAGCCGGAGATCAAGCCCATCCGTTTCTGTCCCGTGTGCCTGACCAACATGTCCTGGATGCCAAAATTTGCTTCCTGCCCAAAGTGTGGCATCAAGCCGATGCCCGTGGTAGGGGACCGGCACAAGGAAAAGAAACTGACGGCCGATCAGATACTGCTCGAAATCCTTGGCAAGCCACCGCCCACGATCGACGATTACTGCGTGGATCCTTGCGCAAAGGCAATCAAGGACAAGGACAACGATGCAGGTGGCACTGACGAGTGTCCTCCCTGCCGCTGCACTTGCAAATTCGGGGAGCTCTGCGCCCACTGTCGCATCCGGAAACTATGCGCAGATATCTTCCAAACGAACCAAGTCCAGGCCAAGTGTCCCAAGGTGGAGCCGCAGCCGCCCGAAGACTTTTGCGTCGTTAACAAGTCGAGTAACGAGGACTGCCGACCCCATCTGGCCAAGGTTTTCTCTGAGCTACGCGACCTCTACGACATCAAGGACAATAAAAAGATATACGAGTTCGATGAGAACTGCGAAGTGAAGAAAATCATGGAGCCGAAGACGTCAGGCAAAGATGATGACAAGAATATCCGCAAGGCACAGACGATGAAGAAGTCTCTCTACAGCCCAGGCCCCAAGCGCCCCTTCAACACTCGCACCGTGACTGGCCGCCACAAATACTGCGTTCGCCAGCAAAGAGGAGTATCCAGAGACCACGGCTGGTCATGGAACAAGAGCTATGAAGCCTGCCAGATGGGCTGGCGACCCGGCGCCATCCGGCGGCCCATCGTCCAGCTGATGAAGTTTTTTCTCCTAGACAGACAAGAGTCGGCCTTTAAGAAGTGCAAGGATGCTGAGGCCGATGAACTGGCCAAGGAGCTACAGCAGCCGGTGCTCAATGTCTGCAAGAAGAACGGGGAGATCTTTATCACCCTCCGGCCGTTGGGCACGCTCGGGATGCGGCAGAAGCCCATCATCTTCCGGGTGGTTAAGAGTGAACTGGCCGTGGCGCTGCGGAAGATCAAACGGATTCTCAAGGAAAAGGGCTTTAGAAAGTGCACCTGCCACCAGACGCTGATGATGTGCACCTGCCGCAACACCCTAGAGAGGAAGCAGCTGGCTTCCGCCCTTGACAAGCAGTGCCAGCGCCACTGCATAGCCCCCTGTGCCGACCATCTGGTCCTGACGGACACCAGCGAGAGCGAAATGGAGTTCGACTTTAATGTAACGCCTCCCGCAGGCACCGAGCAGCCGCAGAGGCAACCCAAAGCTCGCAGTGGAAACCGAGGCACACAGACCAGCAAAAAGGACCGAGAGCCGCCTTCCCCACTCTATCCCATCCAGCAAAATCCCTACTATCGCTCCTTCGACTGCGGCGTGGGCGATCGTTACATGGGCACTGCCTTTGGCCGCAATGGGGAAACCGTCTTCGAGGACGGCGTCTTCGGCTACATGGGCGGGGGGCAGCACGGCGAACCTCCATCCCGTCGGAGTCCGAGAATCTGGGGCACAAGTCCAGGCGCTCCTATGCGCCTTGGCATTGGTCGCAGCGCGGATAACAACAATCGATTTAGTGGCACTGCCTGGCGTGGACTAGCCCGAAGAGTACTAACAAAAATGCGAAATGAGGCAAAGATTCAGTAGATTGTATGTAGTTTTAATTAGTTATTAATGGCATTAACTATACATAGTATGTAGTAGATAATAAAAATATATGTACTTTCTAATAGTGATCGAACTTGTTTCGAATGCGCTCCAGGATGCATGCGTTTGGATGCATACTGGCAGACGGATGGTCCTCGAAAGAGATTAGATGTGAAGACGGTGTCACCTTCTATCTAAATTTATCTTTTTGTAGACGCCAATAGAAGAGATGATAAAAATATATTAAATATCTTTAGAGCTATTAGAAGCTAGTGCTCCGCGCATAAACTTTTTCGTTTTGATTACCTCAAAGAAAAACGAAGTCCACCCAAATTTATAAGCTGCAGCTGCTATTTTTTCGCAGAATTACTTTAGAAAAACTGCATAAATGCAATGGTCCAGTGCATTGCACAAATTTCGTATGCTACGATCGGGATCAGTCTGCGTAGCTTGGGGAGACTGTAGAGGCTGTCCAGTTCACAACGAATTCAAACGCCGTATCTGACGAGTAACAACGCTATGCTCTAACAATACACCAAACGAATTTGTAACTGCACAGATCATTTGACGTATTTCTAATGCAAAATCGAAATACACCAATTCAGATGCTTTCAACTCAACATTACAATGGCTTCTACAGGCTGAAAACGAACAGAACCAACTGACTTAAATACAAGAAATAAGTTAGTTCCCACATTGAGCTCACCCCGCAGAGCAACATCGAAGGAAATTTGATAATGGGCTGGAATCTGTACTATTTATAGCAGCAAAAGTCTCAATACCAGAGGGGACGCCTAAAAGAAGATACACGAAATCTCACCAAGGCTCTAAAAAACGAATAAGAAGACGGCCAACGCAGCTATGTAGAACGAGGGGCAACGTTGTGAGTTGCTGCTGCGACTGCAACTCTACATTTACACCCAAAACATAGTCAGTATAGCTACATTGAGTGACAAAGAGTGTTTGCGGGAGAGACAGAAAACGTGTCTAAACTTTGTTGATTTGTTGCTTTTGACTATACAAACGATCCGATCTGATCTAGATTCGGCAATTTGGTAGACATGGTCGTTATTTATGATTGTGCGTTTTTAGTTTTCTCGTATCTTCAATATAGTGGATGCCACAGATTTTCGTTCTTTGTGTGGGCGGAAGGGGGTAATCCGCAATTTTGTAATACACTTGTGTAGGTTCGATATCACAGGAGTGTGGATACCAAATGTGGTTACTCTATCTCTTATAGTCTCTGAGATCTAGGCGCTCACTTTTTGCAATAGGCAAAACCGACCATGAAACTTGTGTGTTAGAGAGAGACAGAGCGAGAGAAAATGAAACTGTTTTCTTCATTCTGGCTATACTAATAAGACGATCTGGTTCAGCTTCTGCAATTATTCTCTTCGATTCTCCTTTTTTGGATTTCTCGATGCCTCGGGGCGAAGTTTTGAAATACACTTGTAACAGTGAAATATCACAGAAGTCTGCACACAAAATGTCATTGCCCAGCTGTAATAGTCTCTGAGCACTAGGCGTTCTTAGAGACGGACAGACGGACGGATATACTTTATGGGGTTGGAAACGCTTTCTTCTGGACATTACACACATCCATTTTCACCACAAATCGAATATACGCGTATACTCATTTTGAGTATCGGGTCTAAAAAGTTGCACAAAGCATCCGCTGTGGACGGCCTTACAGGGCATACAAGAGAAACGGTAATGCCATTAAGAAGTCATCAGGTTGTGAAATAATAGCTCTGAAAATAGCAGGTGTGCGGCTAAAAAACCTGCCAGCTCCTAAGTGCACAATCACAATCACAAGACTTGGAAAGACACCGCGATTGTTAGTCGCTAAATGCCCAGTAAAGGCAACTAGCCCCGGCATCAATTAACAGTGGAGAGATGTAATGCAAAATCGGGTTACTTTTACTTTCAACAGAGCTGTCCTTTTTTGGCTCTGAACAATGCACGCATCCCGCAATCCAACGACTTAATACATCTTGACAGGCGGATAACGTGCTGCAAGCACACAGAAGCCGACAATTACAATTAAAGCAAGTAATCGCTATGCGCTTAGCTTGGACTAGTAGAAAGTCCTTCTGTACAACTCCGTGCTGAAACCTATCTGGAGGTATAACTCCGAGTTATGGGCGTTATGAGGCAACGCAAGCAGAAGCAACATCGACATTATCAAGCAAGCACAGTCGAATAAGAATATCCACACAGATAGTAGATAATAGTATATAAATAAGAATGAATAATATACCGCTTCCATCTTTTATCACAGAAAGATAATGCTCGATGCCCCTTCGAATAATAGAAGTAGTCGAGTCTCAATTGCCTTGTAAACCGTCATCCTGACTTACATGGAGTTTTCTTTAATCAAAGTTCAGTTTGTTTTAATGTTCAAAACATAGTATCGTCTGTTCAGTGTTCTAGTTTTATCGCATTAGTGTACTAAGTCTACGAAAAAAATTGTAAAGTAAAAAAAATTGTAATACACAGAAACCCCGAGATCAAAATTCTCGATTTCGACCAAAGTTGAGTGCCCCCTGGTTTACGATGTCAAAGAAAGGATGGAGAGCAAAGTCCCAAACAATGATGTTTTTAGCTGCGCCCGATCCACCAGCTGTGGCCGCTCCACCGGATACGGCCGCGCCAGTGGAGAAACCAAGGCCCACGATGAAGGAGCCACCACCGACATTTATCTTTGACGTCGTAGTGACCAATTTGGAGGCACAGGGCGTAGAAATAACCGATCCCAAGGGGCTGGCGATCGATGTGAACTTCAATCGCATGCCTTTGACCCTCACCTCGAGCCGGATCAACGTCAACGAGTTCAAGCCGGGCAGCGGCGCGGAGTTCCAGACGGAGCCCAATTCCTTACGCAAAACTCTCGAGGAATGCGGCATGACATTCGTGGTAAAGTACAAGGATCGCGCTGTGGGCAGCGGACAGACATCCTTCCCTACCATGGTCACAGAGCGTATCGCACGAGAGATGAGCGACATCATCCATGTGGACACGTGCGTTTTGTCTAAAGGGGGAGAGCCGGCTGGTAAGCTGGAGGTCCTCTGCCGCCTTGTCATCCGCTGCAATGAGCAGCCGAAGTACGTAAAGAGTCCTTTCCCCCATAGTGATCCAGACCTAATAAATTGCTTCTTCCAAATATCCGCAGGGTGGGAGAGAGCGAATGCCAGCGGAACATGGACAAAAGCATCAATCCGCAGGACATAATGTTCGTTATGGGCGAATCCCAGCACTGTCCCAGTCCTTGCGATCCCTGCCTAGATGCCATGGATTCAGAGCCGGGTGACGAGCGTCTGCGCCTGGATCTGCAGCGATATCACAGTCAGAAGGCCGGCACCTTTAACCCCAACAAAATGACGACGGACAAACCATCTGGAATTCCGGCTTGCTGTGAACTGAAGGTGGGTGCGAGGTAAGATCAGAGCTCCCATTGATAATACTATCTTTTAAACCTTTGCAGAAAATGGCCGTGGAGTATGAGCAGCTAATAGACTCCATAACCAGGTCCACGGGCTGCGCGCCACCTCCAAAGCCGCCTTGTCGGAACCCGGATGAGTTTGATATGAGTCCCTGTCGTGACACACACATGCCCGTGGATCTGAAAATGCCAGGAGAGCCCCATCTGCCCTGCTTTTCGTATCTGCCGACTCGTCAGGAACAGAAGCCCGACTTTTGCGATCAGAACCATATACCAATGCCCATTGCAGACTGCGACGGAAAGAAGCCGGAGATCAAGCCCATCCGTTTCTGTCCCGTGTGCCTGACCAACATGTCCTGGATGCCAAAATTTGCTTCCTGCCCAAAGTGTGGCATCAAGCCGATGCCCGTGGTAGAGGACCGGCACAAGGAGAAGAAACTGACGGCCGACCAGATACTGCTCGAGTTCCTCGGCAAGCCACCGGCCACGATCGACGATTACTGCGTGGATCCTTGCGCAAAGGCAGTCAAGGACAAGGACAACGATGCAGGTGGCACTGACGAGTGTCCTCCCTGCCGCTGCACTTGCAAATTCGGGAAGCTCTGCGCCCACTGTCGCATCCGGAAACTATGCGCAGATATCTTCCAGACGAACCAAGTCCAGGCCAAGTGTCCCAAGGTGGAGCCGCAGCCGCCCGAAGACTTTTGCGTCGTTAACAAGTCGAGTAACGAGGACTGCCGACCCTATCTGGCCAAGGTTTTCTCTGAACTGCGCGACCTCTACGACATCAAGGACACTAAAAAGATATCCGAGTTCGATGAGAACTGCGAACTAAAAAAGACCAAGGAAGAGGAGCCAGACACGACAGGCAAAGTTGATCATAAGAACATCCGCAAGGATAAACTCAAGGCACAGACTACGAAGAAGCCTCTCTACAACCCAGGCCCCAAGCGCCCCTTCAACACCCGCACCGTGACCGGCCGCCACAAGTACTGCGTTCGCCAGCAAGGAGGAGTATCCAGAGGCCACGGCTGGGCATGGAGCAACAGCTATGAAGCACGCAAGATGGGCTGGCGACCCGGCGCCATCCGGCGGCCCATCAAAAAGCTTATGAAGTTTTTTCTTCTGGACACTAGCCGAGAGTCGGCCTTTAAGAAGTGCAAAGATGCTGAGGCCAAGGAACTGGCCAAGGAGCTACAGCAGCCGGTGCTCAATGTCTGCAAGAAGAACGGGGAGATCTTTATCACCCTCCGGCCGTTGGGCACGCTCGGGATGCGGCAGAAGCCCATCATCTTCCGGGTGGTTAAGAGTGAGCTGGCCGTGGCGCTGCGGAAGATCAAACGGATTCTCAAGGAAAAGGGCTTCAGAAAGTGCACCTGCCACCAGACGCTGATGATGTGCACCTGCCGCAACACCCTAGAGAAGAAGCAGCTGGCTTCCGCCCTTGACAAGCAGTGCCAGCGCCACTGCATAGCCCCCTGTGCCGACCATCTGGTCCTGACGGACACCAGCGAGAGCGACGTGGAGTTCGACTTCGATGTCACGCCTCCCGCAGGCACCGAGCAGCCGCAGAGGCGACCCAAAGCTCGCAGTGAAAACCGAGGCACACAGACTAGCAAAAAGGACCGACAGCCGCCGCCGCCAAAGTATCCACTGAAGCAGAGTCCCTACTGGAAAGCGTACAACTGTGCCGCGGGCGATCGCTATGTGGCCACGGCCTTCGGGTCACCCGGCGAGGATGTCTACGAGGATGGACTCTTTGGGTGGGGTGGCGGTGGACCACACGGACCGTCCGCCCAGCCTGGAGGAAAGCCGAAGGCGCCTGGCATCTGGGGCTCCCCCGAGGGAGGCCCTATGCCAGCGGGACCAGGAGGAGCCAGTCGAGGCGGCCGCGGAGGTGCCTCTGGAGGTGGTGGAGGTGGTGGAGGAGGCGGTGGTGGTGGTGGCGGTGGTGGTGGCGGTGGCGGCGGCGGTATACCAGCCGGATTGAAGGGATTCCCAAAGGGTGTGGCTGCCAAAGTGGCTGCAGCTGCTGCAGGAGGAGGTCTCAAGGGACCACTATCATCAGTAGGTCGTGGAGGAGTGGGAGGCGGAGGAGCAGGAGGCGGAGGAGGAGGACGGGGCGGAGGTGGAGGTGGAGGCGGAGGTGGTCCGATTCCGGTGAGAATGCCCCAGCGATATATAAAAGCCCTCGAGAAAGCGGCCAATGCTGAGAAGGAGGTACAACAGAAGCAAGCCGAGCAGAAGAAGAAGGGCATAGATATGATGAAGTACCTCCAAAAGTCGGGAGCTCTCAGCAAGCCCTGGAACCCGGCAGACGGCAAGGCTCCGAAAGGCAAGCAAACCGGTCCTGTCGTCGGACCCGATGGCCTAACCGACGCCCAGCGCAAGCGTCGCGCCCTGCTCGACATGCCCCAGCCCCCGCTCGATTCGATAACACGAAGGGGCAAGCCCTTCGATCCCTGTGCCCCAGCTGCCTACTACTGTGGCTACTACTGCTAAGCGTGCGTCCCCTCTCTCGCCCCATTTTCAAGCATTTCCATTTGGTGTGAAATTTTATTTGCCACTTTTCCTCCCCTTCATCAAACATTCAGCAAGTGTGTTGGCGTTTTGTTGTCGCGTTTCCTCGGAGCTGATCAACCCACAACGATTCGCTTTCAATTGACACCACGTCTCCAGGAATTTGAACTGGAGATGGTCCGCAGGCACAACACATTCACGCACAGATGTACGGAGGCATCCACCTCACTAATGCTGCGAAAATCCAATGGCATTACCAAATGTTATGTTATGTGGAAGAAGATTGTATAAAGCTTGTACATAATGCATGAAATATGGCAATTTCAATTAGTTTTTAGTGCCACAGAACGACAGACAGACATGGGATTATATTTTGTAAGCCCAACAGCTTGTTTGCGATATTATAACAGCATTTTGGATTTGCCAGTCGACATTGGAATAGAGGGGAGCCGTTCCAGCAGAGATTGAAAATGTTGTCTGTGCAGTTAATTAAATGGCAGGCACGCACAGGACGAAAAGGAGCGAGGAGCGAGGAATGACGCGCTGGGCAGGGGCAGGGGAACAACAGCTGCAGCACTTTATCAACGGCTATACACTTTGAGGAAATATTCTACAAGAAATTAAGTTTCCGATTATCATTTTAAAGTTATTATAAGCTCAAAAATTATTAAGAAAATATCAAACTAATATCACATTTTGAATAATCATCCTAATCAAAGACCAGAATTCAAACATAAATTGAATCGTCTATAAGAATATATAATAAAAGAAATCTCAGTATCAACTGCTAAGGATTTTGCACTACTTTCTCTCAGTGCACATGGGCACCACACACGCTCTACGCATAGAATAATAGTATATTAATAGGGAATGCTAATGCTATGCAAAATACCTAAGCTGATTAGGAGATATAGGCTCCCTATAGCACTCAATGGAGTCGTGCGTGCCCATATTCGGGGCTAATAAGTGCCTCCCAGGCTCCCATGCTCCACTATCGTACGAGTATCATACATGATTGTTGCTCTCGGCTCTCGGAAATCCCTCGACGCAGTTGTACCCCAAACCCCCAACCTTCTTAGGGCCAACGAACCATTGTAAATTGAGCCAATTTATTTGGGACGAGACGAGCAAAGGTACGAGCATCAAATTTGCACGAGAGTAAGCGAAATTTTTTAATTATACAAATTACAGCAATTAAGTGGGGAAAGAAAACGCGAAAAAATAAAAGATTCCTTTTTTTGCGTGTTCATTGAGTAAGAAAAATATATCTTACCTGAAGTGAAAAAAGAGCAAATGGGTAAATAGTGACCATGAGGATAAGGATAAGGTTGGTTTTGGGATACTAAGAAACTTGGAGAACGCTGATAGCAGATGGGGTAAAACTTTTAATGAGTGTCTCTATGTGTTCAGCTGAGTTTTTTCGTAGCAAAAAGTGTAAAAAATGTTTTCTGAAAAGTTAAAATTTTCATCCACGAGAATTCCCATAAGTATTCAAGGGGAATCTTGTCGAATGAATAAAATGGGAATTCCATCAATAGAACTCTTGGACGTTGACATGCAATGACTGCATCTTACAAGAGGCGATACAATCACTGCAGGCAAAGCGCAGCCCTCCTCCCGCCCAACCGACCGAGGGGCGCTTCCGCATGGCGCACGGCGCGTAGCCGAACCGAACGCGAGCAAGCAGGAAAGATAGCTGATAACTAAATCTAGATCAGGGCTGTCTATGTCACCCCTGATCAAGTTGTGCATAAAAATCACACCAAGCATTTTTCTACGGTTAACTAAGGATAGGAGGCTTACTAATAGCAGTCTACTAGAGTAAGATGGGAGTCTCACACCCCCATACCATACCAGAAAACTTTATCTTGGGATCTAACATAACACAAAGATCAACCAATATCAATCGAATTATAAATATATAAATCATTTTCCCCGAAATGATAATCCTGTCTACCACGAATCAATTGTACATTAATTAATTTTCTACTAAGACCCCTCTGCTTTTTGTACCGCCTGCCGATATGAATCCCCTTCAAAGCATTAAGATTCATTCGAATTTCACTGAATTTAAATTAAACTGCAAAATTTCCACCCCAAAAAAAGTGCGTAATAAAAAGTTTCTTCAGCAACAAAATAGCCAACAAAACATCACCTGATAAATTGAGCAACAGTTTTCAGTTTCCGTTGCGGAAATATTTTATAGGACACTTAGCAGGCGACAGGAGCACATTTATTTTTGGCACTGCACCAGATAGGCATGAAATATTTCAAATTTCTGGCACAAATTTGTAGCAGCGGCCGAGAGACCACTGGAAGGGATACACAGATGATTCAAATATTCCAAATTATGATTGGGGGCGAGATGCCCTCGAATGCCCTTCTCTGCATAATTAAATGGGAGGCGGAGTAAGGTTGAAATCCTGGGCAAACTCTGTTGAATATTTCATTTAATGGGATTTTTAATTTGACGCTTTAAAGTCAGCAAGGCAGGAAAAAGCAGAGAACGGAGAGTGAGGGGCAAAGGTAAACGCATTTTGGCACTCCATAAATCAAACAGAAGAAGAGAACCCTCTAGCAAGTGGTACCGCTGATACCCTGGGCCTGGCACGAGAGAGAAAACAATTACCAGAGAATGTAAAAATATTTATTTAGTGAGCTTGACCTCCGGTCGGGTACTGGTCTCCTCGAAGGACCCTCGTCCACGCCGGCCATGTCAGTGGCCATTCGGTCTGGCAGCTAACATCCGTTTCCGTCAGCACAAACAAAGCTTTTATCGGACATAAAACTGTAGCGAGGGCGCAGAGAAATGCCCGGACTTGGCCCGTCAGGGAGCGTTACGAAAATGTTGTACACTGAGGTGAAGGCAAGTGAAAGCGAGTGAAGGCGAGTGGCTGTCCAAGACACTTTATCATCATTTGTCAATTAGTTGCATTACCTTTAAAGCCGGCAAGCGGCAAAGGAAGTCTTGGGTGCGACAGGTCGCAGGCAGGTCCATTAGTAGCCGAGCCAACTTATTTGCTGCATAATTCATAATAATTATGCCGGCAAATTTGTGCTGCCCCCGAAACTTTCGCAACTGTCCAAATCATTCTCCTTCCTTACTTACCCATTTTTGCCAACTTTTCTGCGGCGCTTTTGGCTCTTTTTGCAATTTTGGAGCAGCTGTGCAGGATTTGAGATTCCTGGCTGTCATATAGCTGCCACTGAGGAAGCCCTGCAACACCTGCTGCAACATCGCAGCGTCTCTTTTCTGTCGGTTTAAGCTGCCATAATGCCACAATGGCAAAAGCCAGCTGTCCTTTGTGCCACAATTGGGTTTTAATGAATATTCGATTGCAGCATTTTAATTGCCACACGGAGTCACCACGGTTGCATGCAGGCCGACACGCAATCTCGAGTCTCCGAGCTGGCTGCCTCGCAACCGTTGCTCTAATTAATGCAGAAATCCGCTCTGCGACAACGCTGCGTATGAGCAACAAAGCAGCGCCGACAACGCTGCGTATGGGCAACGACTTGGAAACGTAATCGGAGTACCCTTCACGTGAGTCCACTCCTCTTTCAAGCAGTCCATGCCTTGGCCCCGCCCTTGGCCAAAACAAACATCAGCTTTACGATTCCATTAAAGGCTAAGGGAAAATGGCAGAAAGCCCGAAAAAAGGGTATCAGCTTCCCAGACTGTGAGTGTGGCTTAGTTTTTAGGAAAACTTTGACAGCACAAAGGGAAATTCACAAAACTCGGGTCCAGAAGAGAGGAGCACACAATCTGAGTAGTATTCTTCAATTTAAAAATTTGATTTGTGTTTGTGGCACTCTTACTACCAGATTTTAATTCGGGTTAGTCGGAAGTTATGGCTCATTGGAGCGGATTATAGGTGCTCGAAACTCTGACAGACTTTTGCAAATCAACTTTCTAGCACCATTATCATTGGCTTTTGTCAACTCGGAATCATAAACAAAAACTCTGCTCTCGGGTATCTTTCTGGCAGTGAAAACTATAATAATCCGTAAAATAAAACATTCTAGTCGGAAAGAGAGAGGGAGAGAGAGAGAGAGAGAGAGCTCTCCCACACCCATACCTACCCCTCAAGCGTGGTAGAGCGGTGGAGTGCGGCATGTGGCAGCTTTTGGGTCCGTGCGCCCCAAGTATGCAATAAAATAAAATATTTATTCATGCATGCGCATGCAAACAAGTACGCGGCAAATTTCGCCTGAATTTTATTTTATTTCTATGGAATAAAACTCAAAATAAAATAAGCCCCCGAAGCAAGTACTTGCTTTGTGGCAGTTCCGGCATTTCAGAACGCACTCTATAAAGAATTTTGGAGGCTTGGGTACAAATTACCGTCGCAAATTAAACAAACGCCAATTGATTGAAGAAAATCACAGTTTAGGAGCTAAAGATTAGGGTAGCATTGGAGATCCATCTTTCACCCAGTAATGCTGAAGTTCGCCGATTGAATACGTTTAATTAATAATTAATTAATCAATAAAATTATAACGAAAACGTCGTAGCCCCTTTGCCTTCATCTTTTTTATAAGCTTTCAATTCTAAACCCCACTCCTCTGATAAACCCACAACCAATTTATTTCAAACTAAAAAATAAAATAGTCCCCAGAATGTTTTTTATTTTGTAGCAAAACTTATCCCCCTCTCAAGCGACAAGTGAATTGTTCAATGTGTTGTTGATTGATTTACAATTTTCCCCCAATCTGTGTATTTTCATTTTCTTTTTAGGGGCCTCAGGGGACAAACATTTGTCATCAGTTTATAGCAATAAAGGATTACATGAATAGTAAAACGAAACCCAATAATAAAAGTAGCAACAACCAAACCGAAAACTAAATAAAATAACATTTATATAGATTTGTGTGTTTAATGTTTTAGGGACAGCATGTGGTGGGGCGTCCACCAAAAGATTTGCATAGAGCAATTAAAAATATGGAAACCGAAGCCTGGAGGCAGGTGCTGGATGAAAATGAATTTTAATTAAATGGAAACACCATGAAAAAACTTCCAAAAATACAAGTTTCCGGCTACCCAATGGAGACGGAAAGCTAAAATTCAATTAAACTAAAGTTTTGCCTTGCAGATAAATTCCTCAAAAGTGTTTCCACTTATATGTGCAGCCACGATAGGATCGAGGGCGTTCACTGAAAAGAGCAAAACTTGGCAAAAAATGCAGCCAACTTGAGTTAAGGAGGAGACTTAAGCCAGGTCCTGTCCCTCAATGATTATCTGGAACTGTAGAGATTCCGTCGCCTCCTCCATCTTGGACCACTGTCTGAGTGCGTTCGATGATGAGCCAATGA